GCCAGGCTGCTCTGCTGTCTGCTCTTCCCTCCGTTGCTAATTGCCTCTGGATTTCACACAGGTGAGATCCTTCTCTGCCCACACACCAGGTCCCCTACTCACCAGGTCGGTCCTCCGCGAGCTAAGACCAACCCGGCACTGGGAGTCCGCAGCTGACAGGGTAAGTTGCTTGGGAATTAGGTGATAGGATTGAAGGGGTAAAATAACAAACATTCAAGTGGGATTTGAGGGTCTTCGATGCAAATCAGGATGGAAATTTAGTGTGCTTGATCTCTGAATAAAAGACACCTGAATTCACTGCACAGGCACTGAGTCATAGCTCAGATATGCGACCCCAAACCAGTTACTCCCCCCCTGTCCCAAGCTGCCCAGCTGCAAGTGGTGCAGAACAGGCATTTACTTTTCACTACGAAATTCGTTCAAGTCCACAGGAAAAAAAGACACACTCCCCCCAAAAAAAAAACCAAACCACAACCCTTTGTACAAACCTGAAAGTTTTTGCTTTCTGAAAGTATCGGACAAAGCGCAGTTTTCAGTGTTTCTTTCAGTAGAGGTTATGTGTAGAACCAAAGGGGATGCTGAACATCACTTTGATATTTTTTTTTTTTATCCTGAATAAACATGGGTATTTTCAGTATAGTGATACAAGGTAGCTTCCCTTTCAAGTTCATCGTTCGTTCTTTACATTTAATTCCTAAGTAGGTCCACCTTAGCTTTCTCCTCAGCAATCAACCGACAGCAGAAAACATTAACCAGCAAAATCAAGATGTCTTTCCAGGACAGTAGCCGGCCCTGTCAGCAAAGCGTGGTCACCCCCAAGAGATCTCCTCGCTACCCTGACCGACCATTCCTTCAAAAACACAAGAACAGCTCTTCCCTCTCGCCCCTGTGCTCTCACACGAGGGCAAGACCCTCCCCTATTGCGTTGAGGGGAGGAACGCCACGGTGTTAGGAACCAGGTCTGACCTCCTAAGGCACAGTGTAGCCTTGGAAGGAAGAAGATCCCAACCATCGCTTTGTAACTAAAGCCACTCCGTAAGCAAAAGGGCTCCTCCGACCAAAGAAAGGTCAGAAAAATCCTTCAGGAGGCAAGTTTCCTCAAGAGCCAGCTCTCTAACAGCTGCTTAAATGGGGACCTGCTTTTGAGAAAAGCCTTGCTGGTAAACTGGCTGAGGTGGGAAAGAGCAGCAAAAGCTTTCCAAATCAAACTGAAAAACCAACCGGGCAGCTCAGCATTAATTCATTCATTACACTGATACTTGCTGTCACGTATCACGATGACCTCTGCCTTTGCCTGTCATATACACCGCTTCTGAAGAAAGCAGTGGCCAATCTATACAGAGTCAGCTCTGCTGCACAGAGATTTAATTAACTTGGCCCTGCGACCCAGGCTTTGCATAAGCCTAGATACAGCAGGAACTGCCCGAGAACAACTCTCAAACAAGAGCGCGATTATTCTCTTGAAGATACAGCACCGAAAAAGCTTACTCCTAAAGCAAACAGCACGCCTGCTTTGTGACAGGTTAAATAAACTTGTTGCCAGCATGTCACAGCATTTACTTCTGAAGGCTTTGTGTAATTAAGCCTCATTAGTTCCACCGTCTGCAGCCCGCTCCTGCCAAGCGCCCATGCGGGGAGGAGCAGCTAGATGGCACCAAGCACCGGCTCATGGCCCCGCGCTTCCACCCGGGTCTTTTGGGTCAGCCAGCTCCCTGCCTCCTCACCAGGCTTCGAGCAAAGCAAAAGGCGGCCACCCAACCGCCCAGGCGCCGCAGGACCCTGGCAGCGCGCTCGCCCGCGCAGGGGTGCGGGCAGGTGCCCCGTCCTCTGTGCCCCAAAGGGCATTTTTCGCATATTCCCTATACCATAGGATCACAGACTCATAGGATGCTTTGGATGGGCAGGGCCCTTCAGAGCCCACCCCCTGCAGCGCCAGGGACAGCTTTAACCAGCCCAGGGTGCTCACAGCCCCGTCCAGCCTGGCCTGGGATGTTCCAGGGATGGGGCATCTCCCACCTCTCTGGGCAACCTGTGCCAGTGCCTCACCGCCCTCAGTGTAAAACATTTCTTCCTTATATCCAGTCTAAACCTATTCTTCTTTAGTTTAAATCCATCACTCCTTGTCCTGTCACAACAGGCCTTGCTAAAAAGATTGCCCCCATCCTTCCTATCAGCCCCCTTTAAGTACTGGAAGGCTGCACTAAGGTGTCCCCGCAGCCCCCTCCTCTCCAGGCTGAGCACCCCCAGCTCCCCCAGCCTGGCCCCGCAGCAGAGGGGCTCCGGCCCTCCGATCATTTTTGTGGCCTCCTCTGGCCCCGCTCCAGCAGCTCCATGTCCTCCTTGTGCCAAGGGCCCCAGAGCTGGGTGCAGGGCTCCAGCTGGGGTCTCACCAGAGTACCAGGCGCAAAGAATTTCGAGATTGAAGTTGCAAGACACAAACAAGAGGATGCTTTTGCTGCTCTTCAAGAGAGCAGCGATGGCAGGTGATCTGTCACACAGTGTGAAATGACGGCAGAGGCTCGGCATGGGGGCTCGCGGTACACTTAGGTTGCACATCCTAAGCCAGACGGCGTTCTGGGAAATCATTCCTCGGGATAGAAGGAAGCCTTCCTCCTCCTTAGAAGCCTTCTTCCTCCTTAGGAGCTTAAAAACATCAAAGAAAGGATCTCACCCTTGCACACTGCCTATACAGAAGCAGCCACTCAACGCTGGGTTAGCACGGGGAAAAACAGGACGGAAAGGGATCCAATCCATTACGCAATGTCTGTGCATCTCGGAGTACACCTAATGCAGAAAGGACCGTTAACTCTGCTGTCGTAGGCAAACAAAATACAGGCAGTTACTCAAACAAAATACAGGCAGTTACTCATGGGTCACAGATTAACTCCTGCCTGCTAGATGCAATCTCCTCTGCTGAAAAAACTGTTCTGCTGCATTATATTACTAAACAGTTGCTACATTTCCTCACATAAGCAGCTGCTATTTTTTCTGAGAATCAAGTTAAGTACTATTTTAAACAGCACTTAGATATGATAACATTCCAGTTTGGTGGCAATTCAGTTCTAGGTTTTTATATTTAATTTCCTCACCCAGCAAGAAGCTGCCCTCTATTTCCCTTCCCTGCTGTCTCACCAAAATATACTTAAAATTCTCTATTCAGCCATCTTGATTACATTCCCCACTTTGCATCAAAGGAAGAAAATTACAAGCCACTTCAAATAAAGGAGCAGCTGCTTGGGTTTAACTCTTAAACGCCTCTTCCAGAATGGCTGTCTCTTATCAGATGCATTACAGAATTACAGGAGAGCATTTATTCTTACAGGAATCACTTTGCACTTTATTTCCAGAGAAGATCCAAGTTCTGATAGCAGGGGAGAAATGAGCGGTAATCAGATCCTTTAAAAAAAAAAGGATGCAGTGATACTGGCTGTAGGCAGATGTGAGCCTTCCCAGAGACATGCTGTAGGAACAAGGAACTTCTTCCTCCCTGCCCACCCCTGCAAAAAACCACACTAGCTCTCCAGGGATCAGCATGCCAGCTCAGATCAAACTCTTGCCAGAGGAAACAGGCTTGACTGCCTGCAAATTCAAAGCTTATTTCAGGTATCTTAGTATCCGAGGGAAGTAGGAGTAATTTGTTTTGGAGTAGCCTGGTGTATAAACTACTCATTTAGATTCATCATCTTTAGACAGAGGAAAAAACAGTATGTCTTCTCAGCTGCGCTGCTTGATTGCATCAGAACAAGGAGCTGGACAAAAAACCATCGCAGAATAAGGCTTACATATTGTTTAGTACAAAGCCAAGCGGTCAACAAGGAGAACTGACCTCCTGGCATAGCAGGTTCCTCCACAGCCACAGCAAGGTGGCTCAGGCAAAGGACCGCGTTCTGCGTGAGCCCTGAAATTGCACTAGTTGAAAAAGAACTGGAGAGGTAAGACAAGCTGAAGCAAAGAAAAAGCAGCAAGACTTTCCAAAATGATACGCATAAAATTAAGGCCGTACAGCCCAAAAGCCAGTGCAGGCTACGTGGTAAAAACTGACAACTTTTTCAAGTTAAACATGGTAACTCTTGGGCTTTTTTTTTTTTTTAAACACAGAGAGAAGGCTCGGAGAAATCAAAGTCTGGTACAGCAGTTATTCAGTTTGTTGTTTGACAAAGCAGCCCAGGAATCTGCCCATTTGCTTTCAGCAGACAAGTTTTATAGATGCAGAAGCACAGGCAGAACAGCACTAATACGGCAGCGATCTGTGGCACGAGGAAAGAAAAGGAGGCACTGCGAGGGACTCTGGTTCCTCCCCTCCCCTTTATTACACATAGGCAGAAAACAGAGTGGTTTTTCTCCCATTTACTTACAAAGAAACGGAATACAGAGCTTCAAGTCATTTCACACAGTTCCATGTGCAGCCTGGGTAAACTGCTAGCTGGCTACCACACACCTTCTCTGGCAGGAGTCTGCACTCTTGGACAAAGTGACAAAGAAGCCAGAGCCAACACAGCACCCTAGTGACACCTGTAATTTCTTCCCCGGTCCTCTGGGGCTAAAGCTGGGTTGCCAATAATTAACAGGACACGGGAACTCCAGCCCTAGTTTACCGCTCACCCAAGCTGCCATCAACATGGCTCAAGCAACGGCGCTTGGTAGAGGTGGCAGCGTAGAAATGGTGACAGGAATACATTCCGAGTCAGGGAGGGGTGCGGAGAGGAGGACGGGTCGTACATCAGCACGTAGCTTGTCGCTCCCCTGCCACGCACAGGCTCCGTCTGCAGAAAGCCCGGTTAATAGCACACTCCCCTCCTGAAAGAATTTGTTTATTCACATTAGGTATCAGGCTTTCTTGCTCTTCCATGTGCATACGCATAATAAAAAAGTGACCTGCAAAAGATGTTTCACTTCTGATGGGTAAAAAGCCTCTAAAAAACATCTTCAGTTGCTGTGCTTGTTTTTTGGGGGGGATTTTTGTTCGTTTGGGGTTTTTTGTTGTGTGTGTGTGGGGGGGGTTGCGTTAGAAACATTTACAGGGTTTTGTTTTGGGGCTTTCTGGTAAGCCATAATCTTATTGAATTGCAACATCAAGACTGAAGGCAAAGTCAAGGCTGTTGTATGAAACCATCCCCTCAGGAAGGGAAAATGATGTATCTCTTCTCCTACCCCCAATCACTCAATATGAGAGCTCAAAGCAGATCACCCTGCAGCTCCCAAGAAGTTTTGCAAAGAGGGAAGATACAAAAATAACAAACAGCTCAAATTTCAAGTAAGAGCAAGCAGAAAACTGTATTATAGCGACTGCAAGCCTTCATCACAACAGGCAGCATAAGAAACTCCTTCATTTAAAATCTTTTGCAGGTCTCCCTTTTAAGGCCTTAGTGTCATTACAGAAAGAGGAATTATTTTTGTCTTGTGCTTGCAATTGCTGCCCCCTAGAGCAGCAACAAAATCTCCTACAATTTAACAGTTACAGTGTCTAGTTGTCCACGACCGTGCAAAATACAGACAGGGAGGGACAGAACTACCACCAGGTGTTTAAGCTTGCTGCAGGTAAGTACTCTCCTTGACATAAGTTATGTGCCAAGTGTTTTAAACAACCACACAAACAGCCAAATGTTGAGCAACTGCAATACCGCTGCAACTCAGATTCTCAACATCAGCAACAGCAAAGGGGAAAAAAAAAAAATACCGAATCAAAACCAAAAAACCGAGCACTGTTATGGACATAGAAGAGTATATCTTCACTGGGCAGAATAGTGAGTTGCATTCCCAGAAGGGAAGACTGGATGGCGCAGAGTGACTTGGGATAAGAAGTCAAATTGAGACCAGTGCAGATGTTGGCACAGAGATGACAAACACCAGCCGGGGCCAGTTCCAGAGTGGATTGTCATGGCAGGAGATCCTGCTGCTGAGCAAAGTGATATCCATGAAGAACAGGGGAGCGTTACCCCTCTCCCCAGAAGTTCTAGTCATTAGTTAAGGAACCTTAAGACAACTTCTCAATCTGCAGCAACAGGATCCTGTTGGGTCTTTAGAGATTCAGTCCCAGAGCTGTTTTGGGTTCAGAGGAAGCAGAGGGAGTCTTTTGTGCCAAATCTATAAAGAAAATTGCAACAGAAAGACATCAGTTTTCATCAGTACGAGGGACGAGATCAACCACATCCGTAACTAACAAATACAATTTCAGAGCGCCTCAGTGCTTCAATATTCAATCGCATTCTCTTGGAAACCCATGCTTCATGTTTGATATGGGATGCTGAGCATTCTTCTGCTCTGAAACTTGAGAATAGCAGCTGCCCAAATAGGAAGAAAACTATATGGGCAGTCCTGTGTAATTGTTCATTGACAGATTCCTGAAAGGAAAATTAAAGTCTATTTACCCCTGTCCACCGCAGGCCTAGGGAAAACTCAGCATGCAGTTCAAGCCTATAAACTCTGGCCACTCGCCGTTACTAAATAAAGACTAGTTAAGTACTAGTTTAAGCAGACATCATACCTATAACACATAAGACATAGTAAGCATTCTAGGACAGAGAAGATGCTGCGTGCTTGGCAGCAACAGGCACAAAAATGCCGGTCTACTTTATCACTGTAAACAGAACACACAAAAAGCACTGCCTGGCTTTGTTAGACGACAACAAAAAATAGTTAGTCCAAGCACTAGCTCCCTCATAGGGCCTTCAACTTTCCCTATACCCCATGGCAAAAAGTGCAGGCAGAATTTCTGGCAAAGATGGCAGTTCTCTCAAGACTGAGTCTGGTAGCGAGAGACAATGCCACTGAACACCTGGCAGGGATACCAGGAGAGCTTGCTTTCAACGTGTAACTGAAGTGGGAAAGATTCCGGCTCAGACTTTAGTTCTGCTAGACATCTTTCATTTCCGAAGGCTGTCACAGATCCTAATAGCAGCTAGCTAACATGACTTGCTGACATCCATACCTCCATGAGAAATGGAGAGCTTTTCCAATTCAGCTTCAAGCTCAGCATCAGAAATGGGTGGATTCAGCACCTTATGGGGAACAGGAGGCAGATCTGCAGGCTCCTTAGTCGAGTCCTGGAGGAGACTGTCCAGCTCCTTCTCAAGTTCCTCAGTATCCATCTCTGCTGATTAAAGAAAACATTCAGTTCTGAGCAGAGTTAAGTTGCACAGCACAGACCGAAGTCCAAGTTTAAGAGGTATTATTACTCCCATCCATCATTACACATAATAACAATGAACCCTGTGTCCTTCTTCTAAAGGTGAAAATTCAGTCCTGATCTCAGGGAGAAGCTATTCCTTTAAAAGCTTTTGCACTGAGTCATCTAAGGGCAAGAAAACATTCCAGCAGAGACAAACAAGCTGCAGCAACGCACAGGCCAGAGGAAAAGAGATCATCACTTAAAAAACAAAGCGGCAGCCACCCTATAAAAATAGATTTAAATCAACATTACACAACTCTGAGCTGAAATCCACCAGCACTTAGAGACTGCAAGGATTTGGAGATGCACAAACGCCAATTCCCCTGCAACCCACCATCAGAGAAGAGACCTCCTTGTCAGTCCTCATTCCCTCTCAAGGCACCAGTAGCAACAGCCTCGGTATTTCAGTAAGCGCTTGTCCTCCCAGGAAGGGGGACTAGACATGTGGGGATGGAACAGGGAAGGGAAGGGCCAGCAGTGACAAGAAACGATGAGCAAAGATGAAATCCCCAAAACATACCTAGACCATTGATCCCCACTCCAGCCAGAGTCTGGGCTACTTCATCTTGAGTATCACAAAGCTGAGGAAAAATACACAGCGTTTGATATAGAATACAAACTAGTCTTACTGTAGCCACCTATGTCAAGAGTAGAAATGACAAAAAAAACAAACAAAAATTTCAAAAGCTGACTTAAAGGCAGCAGGAACTAGTGCAAAAGAGACTGCCAACATGACTGTTTTTTCGCTAGTGAAAGCAGTAACATGGAAGATTATTTAATAAAGTGCTACAAGACCAAGTAGAATGTTTGAGGATCAAACCTGAAACAGGATTTCAGTCAATAAAAAAAATCCCCCTAATTTTAGCTTTTTGACATAAGTAACGAGCTTATATTGCAGCTTAGGCTAACAAAATAAGGAAGCTAACATCTCAGCTATGAAGTTTTACAGATAGCCCCTCAGCTCACTAGCTGAAGTCACTATTTAAGTACACAGAGCTGAAGCTGCTAAAAAAGTAATCCTTTTCTGGTTTTTACACCAGCTTATGCAGACAGATTGCTCTCTTCATTTCAATTAATTCAGAATAAACTCATCTCTTTTCCCTTACTGAATTGCAGAAGATTATGGGTTAGGCCATTTTCAGACCCTGTTTTTATGCATGTAGTTGCACTCCAGCTTCCAAAGGTATGACTTGTGTTTCTTTTTAATACATCTCGCTAAACATTTTCTAGGAAAGTTGTGTGCTTTAGCAATATTGCTAACCAAAAGAACACATTGAATTTGTGTATCTCATGTAAATTGTGATTACTAGCCAGCAATAAACGCAAATACGTAAACCCAAACACCACCAGTTATTTGAAGACTGATCTAAAAAGCTCAGGATTAAGTCAGTTTGCTCTGGTAACATATGGACTAGAAACCAAACAGCACCAGAACCTCAGCATTAATCTTGCTGTGTACATCTACACACCACGTGCTTGTTTGTTTAGATGTGCTCTTATTTCAGTACCTCTTGTATCTGATCCACCAGGTTCTCTGCCTTCTCCACAGTAACATCTCTCATAGACAGTTTCAGAGCTCCCACACCAGCCTGATAGGCATTAAATACCTTAAAAAAAAAAAAAAAAAAAAGCACAATGCTAACTAAGAACAAACAACAGGCAGTGTAAGCTTCTCTCAAGTCCTGTTATCCAAGCAGGACCCTCAGAGAAACGTTAGCATACAAGCAGAAAATGGAGCCACAAGTAGATTTATTCAGAGCAATACCCCAACAGCAGATTTGCTGTTTCCTAGAGCAGAGAATAAAGTCTCACCAGCCAGCTTCCACCCCTCAGACATGAGCTCTGACAAGCAGGTAAAGCAGCACAAATGAGAAGAACAGCGCTAAAGTGAGAAGCACAAGACAAAATTAACACACTACCATCTGGTCAGTCTGGGAGGCGTATATACGATCCAAGATCCCCTGCACTGCATCCAGCTTGGAATGAAGCTCTTCAATGCGCCTTTCTGTCCTTCGTTTGGACTTCAAACATCTCAGTGCCTGGGGACATTAGATACACAGACTTGGATCACAAACCAGGCAGCAGCCAAAGGAAGTGTAAAAAAAAAAAAAAAAACCACCACCAAAAACAATCCGTGTGCAGCCGAGGTGCACACACAACAGCTGGTTTTAAGAGCTAGATATTTCCATTTCTCTTCACCACATCACTCTGGACAAATATATTCTTACCTTCACCTTCAGGAGATGTTTGGCCTCAGAAACACCACTTCAACACATCTAAGCTCAAGTACACAATGCCTAACCCTGGTCATTATCTGCAGTTATGAACCAGCTCCAAGACACTTAACTTGTAGTTCCCCCCAAGTAGTAGAACAGTACTCACCAACTGCTTTTTCCCAGCTCTACAAGCACTCCGTGCATCCTCTTTACACCTGTACGGATGCAACAAGGAAAAAGCAGCTTATTCCTTTGCAAGCAGTAGTTATTTTACAAATCAGCAACCAGCCTCACTATCTTGCCCTAATCCAGCAGTGACCGAGAAACAACGCATTTCAGGTACCACCACCCTTAAGCCATTGTTGCAAAAACCTTTGACATCCACTCGCTGCATGTTGTTTTCATGGGGATAGGAAAAAAAGGCTGGAAAACCTGCCCTCCACATGACCACAGTTACTCTGTTTACTGAACAGGAAAGAATGACTTGCACTTTCAGAAAGCAGCTTCTAACTATGCCACGGGAATACAAAGTTCTACAGCACACAGACGTTCTTCCCGCTACCCTTCCCCAAATTACTTCTCTGCTTCCTGGGAAAGGGACTCCACCTTCTGTGACAGCAGCTGTTCGCTTTGCATCAACTGATACACTCCGATGTCCACATCATTCATCGGGGAGACTTTGGCATGAAGACCTCGGGCAAACTTCACTATCTAAAGACAGAGAACCACATGCTCGAGTCGCTTGTCTCCAGAATCTGTGCCTGCTCTAGAAATACTTCCACTCTGATGGAAGGAAAAGATGCTTTTACACCCCCAGTTTAAGGCTGGTAATAGAGCAATGAGGACATACCAGGCATCATATAACCTAATACTAAACTAGAGAGGATCAAGTGACATCAGCGTGAAAACAGGAAGCCTTAATGGAACACCCTGAAGATTTAAAGTCGCCTTGGTGCTCTGAACAGCGTATGGCAACGTCACGTTTCCAAGTACCTCAGTACGGAACCGTACAGTGCAGAACGCTACAGGCAAACACGCCATCTTAGAGACGAGAGCGCCTGCATCTCTTAGTTACTGACAGACAGGAAACCCTTTTCACAGGAAGTGAAACACTGATTCTAGTGGCATGGAACGATTTCAATTTGGGTAGCTGGGAACAGTCAAGCTGCGAGTAGACAACCACAATATCTGCCAATTTTCTAGCTGTTAAATTACATAGGTAATATTACAGATGTTTGACAGAGGAAAATAAGAACCTGTCATACAAGAGTGAGGATTTAATCTCATCTATAACCACGTTATGATGTTGCAGTACATAGAACTGACTTTTCCAATCAAAGAATGCCCATATTTAGCCAATAAAGTATTCTTTCCAGCCAGATGAAACGCCAAGATGGGGATTATACCACCCAAAAGCAGTCACCTTTACCCTGTACCTTCTCTCCATTCTGTTCCAGGATCGTGACCCTCTTTTCCTTCTGCAGCTGAAGCAGCAACAAGTAGAATGTCCTTTCATCTGGACAAACACTGGCACAGAGGGAACGTAGCTCCGAGAGCGCAACAACAGGGTGAGAAGAAAGCACAGAGTTCTGATACAGGCGATAAACTTCCTCTGCCTTCTCCTGAAAGGAAGCAACAGAGCTGTCTATTAGTTTACACAGGACTCTTACTTCTCTCACAACAACTGCCAAGTCCACACCTGCTTCCTCCCACACACTGAGGGTGAAAAGTTAGAGACGTCACGTTTTGGGCAAGACAGACTTTCAGAATGAGGTGTTATACAACATTCAAAAGCAATTACAATGCTTTAAAAATATCAGCATTAACAGAATGAAAAATAGTACAGTTTTCCACGAGAACCAAAAACACTATTCATATTCCCCGTGCAAATGCTATGGAACAACCTAAGAACCACACACAGGCAGCAAGTTGGCCTCCTCTGCACTTCCTGAAGTCCACTCCCCACCCTAAGTTTAAACCCAATAAAACCTTTTCTTTAATCCACACTGTAAATGTACTCATCATTTGCGGGCAGAGGGAAAAGAAAAAAAACATTTATCCCATTTCAAGTGAGAGTTATGGTCCACTTAAGACTATAGAAACAATTCTTTCCATCCACCCCCAGATTCCACATCAAGGCTTGTGGTTTTCCAGGCAGCTTTTTAAAAGGTTTCTCTCCTCTCCCCTGCACGCACCCTCTGAAAGGGCTGTGGAATACCCATGGCAGAGGGAAGATGCCGTCTGCTATCACAGTAACTACAGATAAAGGAACACTTCTAAAAAGCTCTTGCATTTCTGTTAGTCCCAGTCATTGAGACGCCACTTGCATGCAATAGCAGCAAGTCTTGGTGCTAATTTTAACAGTCACTGAGTAACACAGAGAGGGGACCCAAGGTCTCGACTGCCAGCACCGCACCATCCGAGTTAGACTGAGCAACAAGGAGTTACGCGAATTCACAACGCAACCCACAGGGCTACCACTAACAACATGCCAAAGAAAAGGGTCTGAGGACTGCCCTTGGATCCTGTCAAATCATGTCTGAAAAGGCAAGCTGAAGGCACATGCTCGAAAGTGAAAGCAGCCTTTAATAACGCACATGCGAGTTCAGCTTGGTGATACACTGGACTGACAGCCAGCGACTTCTACATCACCTCTTTCTCCCTACAACAGACGGCACTCGATCTGCAAGTTTCTCTCACACACTACTCTTGCACAAACTCAGACCTGAGATTTACAGCGGTCTCACAGCATAGTGCTTGCCTTCCTAGACAAGCCAGCAAGCCTGCCCCTCCCATTTCTTGGAAGTCAGTGAAAAGTCATTATGTTCGTTTCAAAGAACATCTGTAGATACAAACTATTTCTTATTCCCGAGTTATTCCATCCTCCTCTCTACAAGCTTTTAAACACCTAAGGAATACAAATGATGGTCTGTTCAACCCTGATCCTTCCTTGCCAGCACATAAAGTGATTCATAATCTTGAGAAAGCTCTCAAGAACACTCACCTGAAGCAGCTCCACATAAATCAGAACCTCCTCTTCCTCAGGTATTTTACTGTCACCCAGCACACTGGAGAGGGTCCACTTCAGGGGCTTCAGAATGAAGACTCCCACACCCCAGGAGATCCAGCTGCTGTCTACACTGGCCATGAAGTCTGACTCCCTCTGCAGCTTGCCACGTCTAGAGAAGAGACATGCATACAGAACTGAATACGGTCAGTCCTAAACCCTTCCACTGGCAGCGAACAAGAGCACCAGCATGGTGGAACACTGCTCTACGCTTTGGACATCCACAGTCCTACTGATGTTTTCTAACACCCATTTCTAGCTCAAGTTTGACATGTTACCACTGCCTAGGAAAGTGCACAGAGGACTCTGCTCCTCCCCAGCTTCCTCTGGACACAAGGGCCTTTTGTTTACTATTTTTCCAGTTTTGCAAGTTTCTCCCAGTTTTCTGACTTGAAGCTGATGATCCACTGAACAAGGAAATCGATGGGGAAGGTCAGTTTTTAGAGGAGGCAGTTGCACATTTCAGGATGCTTCATTTGCATGTTAAGTTGCAAAACGTAACTTTTCTCAGATCTAGAGATTTTATTTTTTTATGTTACAGACACAGCCTCAGCTAGCTAGTTCTTGAATCTTTTCAGGATATCAGTCCCAGGCTCTGATTTCACAACACAAAATGCTTCGTTGCAAATACCAGCGCACCACATCCCCATACACCACCACATACCGCTTGCAGCTGGGTCATCACAATCACCATTTCAGGGAAACATAACCCAGTTTAACAGAAAGCTCTCCCTGCACTCACAAGCTCTCCCAGCACTGTATTCCCTTGGGATCCCCTGTGCTCCCCATGGCACGCTGCCCTCCCACATCTCCTGTGAGCCCCAGGGTGAGCTCCTCTGACTCCCTGTCCATGCTCTACCTTGCACAGGGCTCCCAAATTCCCCGCAGAACACAACCCCCTAGTCCCTTGGGCCTCTCCGTGCTCTCCTCTCCCTTGCAAGCCCTGGCATGGCAACAACCCCCCTCCACGCTCTCCCACACTCCCCTGCGCAGGCAGGCACAACCATCCCTCCAAGACCAGCACCAAGCCTTCCCTCGTGTCCCCCTCCTTTTCTCCAGCCCCCTGCAGCGCTCTCCCCGCCACGCACACAGCGGGCACCTT